TTTTCCCCGTTGTGTCCTACCGCCGCTACCGGTTGTCCGAGGCTCAACAATAAAGTCCGAGGCTCGGGAATGACCAGGCTACTGGTAGCCTGAGCCACGGACCTTAACAACCGGTAGGTACTGGTGGTTTAATGGAGACAATGGAGAGGGTGGAGGCACAGTCTGCTGCAGACTTGTAGGTTGGGGTTCGAGTCAGGACTGATTGCAACATGAGCAGAATTTCGTTGTGGTCTAGAACCCAGGGCCTGACCCTGTCGTATAGCAGCGTTTGCGTTTGACCGCCGCGTCGCGACGAGCGCTAATGCTCTGAGCGATCGCTTCTGGCAAGGCCCGGTTGCCTTTCGTCCGACTGGCCGTGCCACCGTGGCAGGTGGTATGTGGCCTGCCTATGGGCCCCGCCACGCATCGTGCGCAAGCTGACGTGGCAGATTTTTTCTGATCTATTGGTGGGGAAGTAGGAGAACTTCGGCGTGAAGAGCGGGGCGACGGTCGACACATAACATATACGACGCGACAACGAATTTGCGAGATAATATGGCGTCGACTGAGGATTTACAACGGTGGGCAGATGCATGGTTGGCTGAGCTGGAGGATGGGGAGCTTCAGATGCAGGAGATACTGCGGGTGATGTCATCTCCATCAAATCATCCATTACAGGGCCAAGGGGGTGAATCCCTAATGGTTGATTGGATGGAGGATAAGATCCAGCAGATGCTGGAAATTATCTGGGCGTTCGAGGAGGGGCCGGATCCGGGGCTTGATGACTTCATTGATGGGGAGCGGAAGCGTGGGATCGTGAGCAGATGCTACGATCTATTTTGGAAAGCGCAGACTCTCTCTGACAGCTATTGCGTCAACGACAGTGAGGGGGATATGACGACATCGACAATTTCGACAGTGACGACGGGACTCGGAGAGAACGTCGGCGACAGCGTGGTCAACGGCGATAAGAGAGTGGAGGAGGTGAGTACTGATATCGGTTGTGACGATAATATGATTTGGGGGTATATAACGGCGGGTGGTGAAGAAGAGGGCGACGACTGCGTTGACAACGACAACAATAACAACAATGACAACAACGACATCAATGACAAGACCTTCACCAACAAGATCAGCAACAGAGGTGACAGCTGTGATAACAATGACGCTAGTATCGACAACAATAACAAAGACAACGTCAACAACAACAACGACAACATCAGCAACAACATCAACACCAACAATCAGTTCAAGAATACCGAATACAGTGTCCTTGGTGACAACGGGATTGACAACAACAACAGTGTTGTTGGGAGCGACGGCGATGCTGATGATAGCAGCACTAACAATATTGATGATAATGGTAACGATGGCTTTGGTTGGGATGATATGGAGGATATGAGGATTAATTGTGGCTGTAGTGGGATGATTGGAGTTGTTAGTTGGCAGCGGATGGGCGTGGGTTAGTTGGTGGTGATTGGTTTTGCCCGGCCTGCAATTCTAATCAGGATGGGAGGTGGTTAGTTTGGGTTTCTTCTGTCATCGCTGTTTTGTGATTACGTTTGCTTGGAAGAGCGGTTAATCCCCTCTTAGGAGGGCAATCAATGCTGCTCTTTACTATATATCAGATTAGATCGAGTACATGCTCCATCAATCACCACGAATTTACAATTGTATAATCAAATGATTTTCATGTTAAGGGACGCTGGACCCGTTTTCCAGCAGGTGCCGCTCCCCATCAATAGATGGAGCCCTCCCGACGGCGCTAGTGGTGTCTGCTCTTACCAGCACCCCGAGCGACTGTTCGGGTTGTTTCTTTAAAAATAAAAAAAAAAGGACTGATTGCAACTTGGGAGGGGAACCAGGGCACTCGGTTCCCCTCAAGCTCGTTGGTACGCTGCAGGAGGCGACAAGTGGGAGGTGGGTGGCAGAGTGACAATGGTTACAGGGAACGCGAGTTCCAACCAGCCGGTGGTAGGTTGGTGGACGGCCGTGGGTAGGCTCAGTTGTAGGTGTAGGTTTAGTGGTCGCAGTGCCCATCTTCGGGTATTTTGTTGTATATATCATAGAGGACAGTAGGATAAAGTCAGGAACAGCTGAGATAAGGAAGTATACAGAGTATAACCAGGGGTTACCGTTCAAATTGTACTTTTTTTTTTTTTTTTTTTTTTGGGGGAAAACTTCCCCCCSCCAGTGATAGTGTTGCTGGTAAGAGCAGACATCACTACCACCTGGGGAGAGGCTCCATCTATTGGTGGGGAGCTTCACCTGCTGGAAACCGGGTCCAGCATCCCATGAATGTTGCACAGTAATTCAGTATCATAAGGGGAGACCCTGCCAGCATTGATTACCCTGGGACCCAGGGGATTGACTGAGCAGGAGGCACAGAAGAAAAAAAAGGGGGGGTGGCGCTCTTCACCTCAAATCCGGCGTCGAGTATCTACTGCTATACACTAGCTCCCCCCTTCCCTTACCCTCCCCTGGCTTCACTTTTTAGAAATGAGAAAACCCACAATCTGGGGCGCACAACTCAGGAATTTCTTACTCTCCCCCATACCAGGAAAGCTCGACCAGGCTATTTGCTGGGGGGGGAAAGAAGTTGTACTAAGTAGAGGTAACACTAAGTTTTTTGCTGGAATGCTTGGAAGCTTTGAACCCTTTTCAAAGGGACAATGGACCAATAGTGGACAACAGTAGTACTTCAATTTGGAATAGATTTGAGGTCAGAGGAAAATAAGTACCTTTCTCAGTCTGAATGACTGTAAGCTAAACTGGCTGAGGCTGCCAGGATAACTTCCGGGTGGATTTGTGAGGTCCCCGGGACCTTGTCCCACTTGCACCGTTTAGTTGAGGCAGCTCAACGGTGCGACAGCTAAAAAAAATCGTTCTAACTCAATTTCAAATGAGAAATGCATTTATAAATGACACGAATACAATTGTTCTGTTTTTCCTTTTTCACAATTGGAGTGGCATACGGGCACTTCCACAGCAGAAAATGACGAGTTGCCAGAATCCCTTTTGTACAAAAATGGCAAACGGAAGGAGGCTATTACAGTTTCCCTAAAAAAACGCCTTTTGGGGGAACAAGAGGGTCGTTGAACTAGCTGTCTCGAAAAAAGGAGGCAGCTAGTTCAACGGAAAGTGGCGAGGGTAGGGGGAGTAGTATTCGAGAGAAAGGATTTACTTCTGCTTTTTGTTGTAAGGAAAAGCAAAGATAGTCTCTATTGCCTTTTTTAATAAAAACGGACCGCTGGGAGCGGGAGCGCTTCGTGGAAGCGCTGCGTTACCGATGATACCGCCGTCCGGAAACGGTGGCGCTCTGCATCGGCAGCAAGGTGCGGGTTACGGGGCGTGTGACGGAGCTATGGAGTACTCGGTACTCCCGAGGTTCGGCCATCTCCCTCAGCCTCGACAAGGGGCTGTGTTTCCCTGTGGAATACCAGAGAGCAGGGTGGTTCCGGATCCCTCTACAACCTTCAACGCTCAAATTTCAGGCTATGGCAACCTCTGTATGAACCCCGTTTTTGGGAAATATACATGACCTACGGCACGAAGAAGGGAGAGTGAGTCCAGTGCACGGCGAATGGTGAGTCTGACAGCGGCACTTCCGGGAGCAGTGGGAGGGCAACTGGCAGTGGTGGGACTGTTGTTGTGAGGCGCACAAGCCAAGTACTAGCGACTACCTCAACGGGGAGCGTGAAGGCTCGAAGTGTGAGAAGACCTGAAGCTCTACATGACGACGTCACATTTGGCAAGTGGGAGTTTCACTGGTGGCCGTGGGAGCGTTTCCAGTAGTGCAAAGGGAGCAGAGCATTAGTCTCGACCGGAGGTCACGATGACACGTAGAGACGTTCAGTTTATCTACCTGCTTTAGGTATACCGGCTCCTCCTTATCTGAGCCGTTTCTTTGTTCCTTTGAACGTGGAATTATCTTTCCTTATTTAAGCCATCTGTGCCACTCTCTGGGACCTCGAACCTACTCTTGGCTGCTCTTCTCGTTTTCAACGGCCTGTATTCAGTCCCTTTCTATGGCTGGTTTCACCCCTTTTTCCTCTCACAAACATGGTAGGCCCAAAACTTGCCTATTACTAGGCTATTAGTATTGCATAGGCTCCTCAGAACTCTTAATCCTGGAATCTGGATAACTCCAACCGCGGCCCCCTTACTGATTGCACGCGCCTCTCATCCTCACCTGTTGACATCAATACGCTGGTCTGTTTGCATGCAGGATTTACCACGAATGAACAAGGGATTTAGCATCTGCGATTTTCTACGGTCCACAGGCTGAGTTCTTGGCAATTTGCATCTAACCGAATCCATAGGCCTGTTTTCTATTTCTCCTCTAGCTTGGGCTGTAGTGTAGATTTCTTTGTGTTTTGCATCTGACCGGATTTACAGACCAGATCCCTGCTCCCCTCTATCTCTAGGCTCTAGCTGTACCACGCTCACTAGCACACGACTCTCCGTTGACGGAACAAAATGTTTGTCAGAGGTTGGCTTCACTACGGTGTGAACTTAGAGTGTTGGTGCTCTTTCTGTTGCTTGGCTTCACTACGGTGTGAACTTAGATTGTAGGTGTTCCTTCTGTTGCTTGGTTTCATTACGGTGTAACTTAGATTGTTGGTGTTCTTTCCGTTGCTTGGTTGCCTCTAGTCTGCAACACACCTGATAGTTCCTTGCTAAGTTCTTCTCCTTTGGTATCTATACTGGGCTTGTCCGTAGCAGGCAACGAAACGACTGGAGGTAGTGGGAGACCTACTACTGGTTGTGGCAGCGTTGCTGAGCTACTTAGGGCACGACCGATTAGCATTTAGCTGATAAGAGGGCAAATCTGGGCTGTACCCATTGAGATCTAGAGTACGTGGAATACGGTACTCCCTACAGAGTCTCTTGCTTTTTTTTTTTTTTTTTTTTTTTTTTTTTT